AATGCCAGATGCAGGGGAGGGGTATCAGGAGACAGGCATCTAGTTGTCTCGTGTGCTCCCTGAGGCATCTGGTGGGGCCCCTGTAAGATACAGAAAGCTGGACTAGATGGGCCCTTGGCTTGATCCAGCAGGGCTCTTTCTTATGCTCTTACGTTAAGTATGAGAATTTGTTCATGAAAATCATTCAAAAATTGTTTTGCCGTTTTTCAAGCAGCTTAACTTATTATGAACAAACATACATCAAACATTCTCTTTGACCTTGAATCTCTGAGCAGAAATGTTGAGAAGTTCAGCAACTGTGAGACAAGCTTTTGAGGACATAAACAGAGTTCAGTAATAGAATGATATGAGGTAATACATTCATGAATGTTTTGAAACTTCAAAGTTGATTTTTGAAAGAGGCACTTTGTGGCACTTAAAACCAGGCCTTGCCTTGACCATCTGTGTGGAATCTGTATGTTTTTTGAGCATTGGTTTATTTTATTTATTTAAAATAGTTTTACCCCACCTATCTCCTTAAAAGGAGCTATGACAACATTTTTACCTTGATGTAAGAGTCAAAGTGCTTGAACTTGTGGATTGTTGGGACCTCCCTGAAAGCACTCCCTTAAGGCAGGTTAGACTAAGGTGTTGGAAAGGTCCCAGGCAGGAAGAGTTCCCCCCAGTCATAAGCACATTTGGCCCTCCCTGGATTCACCCACACCAGGCCAACCAGGATAGTGTGGCTTAGTGGTTAGTGTGGGCCTCCCTGAACCCTGGGGTCCTTGACAAACCATTGTTTCACATAAAGTTTTTATCATTATGATAACTTCCAGCTACGCTTGGACATGACTTTGCTCTTGCGCATGAGCATGCAACTCTCCCGCCGCGCACACAGGGTTTCATCATGACCAGAACCTAATGTGATCACTGGCCACGGGAAAGACAGCTGTGTGGAGGGAGGCAGAGGCATGCATGCGCGCGCATGACCAGAACCTAATGTGATCACTGGCCACAGGGGAAAGACAGCTGTGAGGAGGGAGGCAGAGGCATGCATGGGCGCGCGCACACCCAGCTTAGAGGGAACCTTGACTATGACTATTCAACAGCAGATGATGCAAATTGTTGCACAATTAAGACCTTGTTTTAGAACAGGTAGTCGTGTTAGTCTGTACAAGCATATCAGGCAAAATCCAAAGAAACAAAACAAGACAAAAACATGGGGCACCTTAGAGGCTAATTATTATACTTTAATGTGAGCTTTCATGGACAAGTCTGTTTCGTCAGACAAGGAAATTAAGGCCTAATGTCACGACATTTTATCTATCAAATAGCAAAGAAATGTAAAAGTGAAGATTTAATAATGATAGCCAAAGGTGTCAAAGAATGCACCTATGTTTGAAATTAGATTTCTCTACATTTCTGAAACACATGCTAATGACAGGTGCATACAAACAACTATAGACTGTTGAATCCCCTCCCTCCCTTCCTTCCTTCCTTCCTTCCTTCCTTCCTTCCTTCCTTCCTTCCTTCCTTCTTCCTTCCTTCCTTCCTTCCTTCCTTCC